CCTTTTGGACAATTACAAGACCACTTTAGAACTTTTTAAAGATATGGGACCAGAATGGACCCTGAGGTACAATTAAGGGACCAAAAAGGGTATTTTTCCATCTATATTTGTTAAATGCACGATGTGAAAGAAATATTCAAGAAATGGTGTCAGTATCTCATTGGTCAACAATTTCATATATACACTAAAATTATGTTACCCAGGGGATATATGTTGAAGTAGATGTTTGCGACAACTTGTCCAACTTGTTAAACTAGATTTAACACAATATGAATGTTCTTACCGCGAAATATACTGACAAAAATAGAGTCGTCATTGAATGTTATTTATCCCAAAGAAGGGAAAGGAAAACATCGAGAAAACCTCAGAAGGGAAAGAACATGGTCTTGCAACCAAGAGAAAAGGGTACATAAGTCGATTACGCAAGGGGAAGGTATTATATCCCCTCACGTCTATTGTACTCAATAAGATCCACTCTAGTTGTTCTAATCAAAGAGTGTGTATATCTAAAGCTTACTTACTAAGGGAATGCATGAGAGAATTGTTAAAGGGAAAAATAAAATGTTTTTTCTTATTGTGTTTGCCTGAATTTTACAAATCAGTGCCTACGTATTCCAGAGGAATCAGAACACCGTAGTTCTTCTAAAAATTGTTTTTTTGTTGCATGTTTTTTATGAATGATGCTAAGTTCGCATTCTATTGTCGCTTTAGCTTTGAGACTCATGCATTGGGGTATTTGTGAAGAATGTAATTAACGTGTTCTTTATGAAAAGACATTTAAAAGAAAAATCCCTAAGTAAATGACTCCCAATGCAGGGGCACCTAGCTATTTATCTATTTTATTTATGAAAAGGTTTGTGAATTGAATCATAATAAAGTATGGGAATGAAAGAAGAGAAAAGTTAGGAATGCACCGCCTCACTCTTTTTCATAAGACTCAACTATATATGATTTTCCTCTTTATTTGTTAAGTGTTTTGAGTTTGATTAAGAAAAGGTTTTTTTTCATTTTAAGAAGAAAAGAAATGCAATTCAAAAAGAAAAGCTAAAGCAAGAGGGAAGCTAATCCTAATGTTGTCATACATCATGGACTTAGAGTTTGGATAAAGGGAACTAAGCAAAACCCTAACTATTATCATGCTAGGGTTGAAATCATAAGGTCTAATCTCAATTCAAATTAATCAAAGATTAAAATGAATCAAGATAATCTTAAGAGAGCATATAAGGGAAAGGAAAGCAAGCAACAATTATTTTTAATAAAGCAAGGAAATCATTTATTTCTCAAACAATATCATATAACATTACAACAAAATTATAGCAAAAGGCATGGCAAAATGTAGAAGAATCACAAAAGAAAGAAAGGATTAATAGAAAGAAATCCAATTAAATTCTTAAAAAAATACTAAAATTCTAACATATACTTTCTACTATTTTACTATATTTTTTATTTCCAAAATGCATGAAAGAAAAACTAGAGGAAAACATTAGAAAGAGAATAGGAAAATAATTTTAAAATTCTAAAATATAAGGGGTGAAATATGGATCCAGGGGTGTATTCAGAACATAAATTGGCACAAAGGACCAACAAAACTGATCCAGGAAGGCGTTTTTGATGCAAGGCCCTGACTTCCTAAAAAAAGCACTAACTGAATCAGAGAATGGATCAACGAAGTCAACCCAAACACATGAGTTCAAGGGAAAAATTTTAATTTGTACCCCTACCTCTATACCTGTACCCCTACATTTTTTCAAAAATGCCAAGTTTATCCTTAATGGATTTTAACCTTTTTATTATTTCACTTTTTACTATACACCAAAAATTCACCAAAAAATATGGAAATTGCACCCCAACGGCTCTGTTTCAAAAGACTTCAAGAAAGACTTCTGGTACGTATACATCCAAACCAGAACAATTGCATCTAGTGTTTCAATATTATAAAAAATGTTCTGGAAGAGTTTGTCCAAGTCTTCCGGTTTGAACTGAACATTTTAATGAACCAGAACACTTTTGAAAAGTCTTATGGTGCAAAGAGTTATAAATCGGAACACAAATGAAAAGTATTCCGGTGCGAACAGGTCTAAGCCGGAACACTTTTCCAAAGTGTTCTGGTCGGTCCTAAAATCTAAACCGAAACACTTTTTGTAAGCCTTCTGGTACACATTGTTAATTTTTTTTATACTTTTCAGGTATGGAAATTTCGTACCAAATTTTTCAAAAAAATGAGTCATCTGTAGATATCACTAATGTATTCTCCACTACTCAAACATTCGATACATGAGAAGAGGTTATAAGGTGGTTTAAAGAGGTTGGAATCTGAAACACCTATATTACATTCGTTTGTTAGTTTAGTATAAACACTTTCTGTTATATTTTGTGTAATGTTGACTCAAATTGTTATCACCAACATTCGTTTATTATAACATATATTGAGCATTGCAAAACATAAAGAAATACATTTAAAACAACAAGTAAATAAATACATTAAAACAACACGTAAAGAAATACATTAAAAACAACAAGTAACGAAATAAATTAAAAACAACACATAACAAAAAACATAAAAACAACACTTAATGAAAATACATAAAAACAACATATCTAGACGCCTTTTGACGATTATGAACTCTTCAACATTTTTATTATGTCTTCAGCAGATCTAGTAACATGCGCTTCAAACTCAATCGACCCATTAGTTAACCTACGACGATATTGATTTCCACATGGCCTTCATATCTGAAGACCGTCCAGGTCCCTAAAAAATACTACATTAGTATAATAAAGTATTTAATAAAGAAATTTAATAAATACCTGAAGAAGAGTGGAATATCCAACAAGTTGTTTCCACCCAAACACACATGCATCTCCAAGAGCATCGTATAGGGTGACCAATGCAGCTTCTCTCCAACTATAACAGTGAAGACCGTTCAGGTCCCTAAATAAAAGCAGATATTTTGCCTCGACAAGCGTAAATGTCTTGTCAGCAAAAATAGTGCAACAACCAAAAATAGTAGATATGCTCTGGTCGCATATGTCCAAGAAGAATTGGCTCGATGATGTACAAATAAATAATACAACCACTCCAACTTATAATGTGGTCCTTTACATGCTCGAACCTGACTCATTACAATTGACCTTAGCACTCCAAAGTAGTCAACAACAAGAGATGCATCAAGATCTTCTGTAACATGCTCAAGATTCCAGAAGACGCCCCTTATGGGCAAGTGAAGCAGATATGCAACATCATCAAGAGTAATCGTCATTTCACCATATGGAATGTGAAATGAAGATGTCTCTGAGTTCCATCTCTCTGCAAAAGTTAAAATCAAGTTCGAGTCTATCTTGTGTAAACTAGTTCTTTGTAGTGAGGTTACACCGGATTGGTTCACCAAATACTCGATCTCTTTCGGGAGTTGAAGTGGAACCCAACTCTGCAGCTTCAGCTTGTGAGCAGCACATTTAAGCTCCTTCTTCGCACCTCTCTCCTGAAAATAAAAATATGCATATTAATAAACACATATAAAAATTATAAATTTATGAAATTTATTTAACATAAAAATTTTATTTACTTACATGCACGTACCATAGACGTCGAGCACAATGATTCTCGTATCTAACAAGAAGAGATAAGTCAGACAGTCCTCCTGGATATCCTTCAGGCTCCTATGGAGGTTGTGAAGCAGATCCAAATGCACCATCCTTCCTTCGAGGAAGCCTACCGCCTGAGCCTAATGTGTGCACCATCTTGCAAAACAAAAAAAAAGTAAAAAATAAAAAATAAAAAATAAAAAATTCAAATCGTAACACATCTTGAAAGTGTTCTGGTTTGCAAAACCTGAAAAATTTCGGAAGACTTATAAAATATGTTCCAGTGTGTTAGTTAATGAATCAGAAAAGTTATGAAATGTGTTCTCAAAAGTCAAACTAAAACTGGGACACTTCCAAAATGTGTTCTGGTGTGCTAATTTTTTGGAAGAGTTGAAAAAAGTGTTTCGGTGCACAAAATGTTTCGGAACACTTACCTAAAGTGTGTCGGAGCAGAAAATTGTGAACCATAAGACTTGCAAAAAGTGTTCTAGAATGTATCCTGGTCCAGAGCTTTTCAGAAGAGTTTATGAGCGTGAAAGTGAGAAATGGAATTTTTTTTAAAGTGATACTATTTATATGAAAGACATTTTTATCCAAAAAATTCAATTGTAGGGGTACAAGTATAAAAGTAGGGGTACAAAGTAAAATTTTCGTTCAAAGGTTGTTCTTGTTTGCTTCAACATTAGGTTACAAGAAAAGGTTGTGATGGGCTTAGAGAGTGCACACAATAATGAAGTCCAGTGGAGTCCACCGACAACACCATAGTCACATGAGCATCAAAATATTTTTATTCAGCTTATTATTAAAAATAAAACTAAAAAAGGTAAAGTAGAAACATGAAACGCATGCATTTAGGATAGCCTAGGGTTTAAACTTTGTGACACTCAATCTTCACGTGAACACAGAGAGCCTTCTACTTAGGGATGGCAACATGTCAGGTCAGGTGCGTGTTCACACTACCTAAACCCGCACCCGAAATCACCACCCGAACACGAACCCAAACCCAAAAGCTATTCGGGTGGCAAAATAACACCCACACTCACACCCGTTGGGTTCGGGTTTTTCCATCCAAACTCGAACCCGCAACAAAAACACAAAAAATAAGTCAACAACATTAAAATTTGAAACACAAGAATTCCATCAAAGTCTCTCAAATAAATTAAAGATTTAAATTACAATTTTCCACCAAGTTTGGTAACATTATAATTAAAATTAATGTCTTAAATTTTTACACTTATATATATTTAGAGATACTTATGTAATTTAATGTCTAAGCGGGTGTCATTTCGGGTTTGGATCAACTCGGGTTTTCACCGATGACTCGGGTTCAGGTGCTGATGGGCTCCATAAGTTTGGGTCTGCCTGCCATCCCTACTTCTTCTCTTCTCCCCCGCGGCGCCGTGCATTCTTCTTATTCAAACACCTTCTTCCACCGTACACCGCCAGAAATTGTCACCACAACCACTGATTCCTTGCCTCCATTCTTCTTCTCGGCATTCATTAGCTCCATCACGTTTCCGATTTCGTGCCTTCCTTAACCTCCAGTTCACGGTTTTCTCGTCTTCGTGCACAACAATGACAAAACACACACAGAGTAGAAGAATTTTCAATTTCAAACACAAACTCAAAATAATGGAAATCATAGAAGTGAAAGAGATTTTACCTACAATGATCTTGAAGATGAAAAAGAGAAAACCATTAAGGAGATTCCACAGGTACAAAATTAATTCTACCTTCTTTTTGCGTTTTTTGTGTTGTGTGAACCGCAATGCGATATTGTTGGCAAAGAAGTCGCGATGATGTGATTGATTCAGTTGTGGTTGTTTGCATAAATTAGATAGAGCTCTGAGAAATAAACTCAGAGGAGTTGAGAGAAGATGATGAAAAAGTAGCGTGAAAATGTGAATAATGGTGAAAATCCCAAGTTTGCAGAGAAAGAAGGGTGTAGAAAGATGAGAGAATTTTGAGAATTTTGGTCAATGATTGTGAATGAATGAGATTGAAGAAGAACGTGATATATATATAGTTGGTTATAGTTGTAAAAAGTTTGTTACATGTTAGTAAATTTGAGTCCTTGGATCTTGAAATTTTGTTATAACGATGGATGGTGAGGATTGATCCGATGCTGGGCTATTATTCCATTTGCATTATGAGTTCTTATTTTTCCCACTATTTTCATTTTTTCTGTTTCTCACAGTTTCCTTCTTATTTCCTCTTTTGGTTTTGATAATTTTCGTTGTGTTTTATTCAAAAATGATGAGCTAGCAATCTTGAATTTTATTGTATGAAATTCCTCTAGTTTAATTATTAGGTTTTTTCTACTTAACTAATCAACTGTTTTGGACTGGTTTATGTGGTGAACCGAACTGGTTTAGTGCAGGGCTGAAATTGTAGCAATTCAATGTTAATTTGCTTCTGGTTTATGATTTTTTTTGTTGTATTGGACACCCTTTTCTGGATTGTTGTTTAAATTGATGCAAGTTGGTTCTGTTTTTGGATATGTCAATGTGAACTGTTGGACTGGTTTTGTTGAAATTTTTTGAATGATGTGCAGGGAATTTCTTGGACATTGCATAACCTTTGGTGTTCAATTTGTGAATTGGTCTTGGGCTATTTTGAAGGAAATTGATGAAAGTGAAATCAAAAGCATGGTTGAAGTCTCCATGATTAAAGGAAAAGGCAAAGCATGAGGAATGATTAAAGCACGGTTTGAAACATGAAGGCACATAAGCATTGCTTGAAAGTATTAAATTTGATTTAAAGGTTGAAACATGAGGAATAATTTGAAGATTAGGATAGATTTTGTTAAATTTCCCATGTAATCTTATTTGTAACTTGCTTGATGTAGTACTTCCAAAATGTAATGACATAATAGCTTGTAATTTCTTTATTTTGAAATGACCTTGATGAATTTGAACAAAACTCATGAATTCCCTTGTTTGACCATGGAAATTGCTTTGATACCTTGATATTGCAAAAGAAACATGTCTTTATGAATTTTTCAATAACATCTCTTTCTCTAAAAGAAATCACCAATGTCTCTCCTTAACTTTTGAATTCATCATCATGACTCCAAGTCCTTTAGTTGAATTGGATGACATGCCTTGAGTATTTCTTGTAATCTTGAACAAATTTTCCAACTTATAATATGGAACCACTTGACAAATTTGAATCAAGATAATTACTTGAATGAATTTTTAATGGAACTTTGAATGATAAGTCTTCAATTCCAAATCTATGACAACTTTAAATCATCTTAAACTTCTAACTTCAAATTTTCAAAATCCAATATAACTTGCAATTTCAATTCCAAATAATCCAAATATAATTTATTTTCTTTAAAACTTTAAGTAACTTTGATAAATCGAACCAAATTGAATTCAAAGTATGACTTAAAATCCAAATATCGTTTGATAGATTTTACTTATTTTGTAGGTATTTGTTGCACATTTGGAGCATTGAGGAATAAGGTGTTGAAGGCACGGTTCTGAATGCGCGTGTACGGAATAAATGTCCATTTTTGAGAAATTTTGTCCAGTCGATCACGCTAAGCGCCCTGGTGCCTCTTAGCATGTGGTGTTGTTATTATTCTAGCATAAGCGTAGTTTTTGAGCGCAGATAGTGCGCTTAACGCGGTTTAGGAGATTTAGTGTGTGAATATCGTGCAGCCCGCTTAGCATGGTGAGCCCGCTAAGCGCAGTCTGCTGAGATTTGTTTTATAACTTCATTTTAATTCATTTTTTGGTTATGGTTTTTGGGGTGTTTTTGTTCCCAAATTCCATCAGTCTTATTTTTTATAGATTAGCTTAGAAAATAACACCAGGGCTTTGCTTATGAATGATTAGAGGTTGATTTCTCATTGATCGACGCTGATAAATCGGAAGATTTGTGGTTTATCTCTTCTCCTCTCTATATATTTCTATTATGTTAGGTTTTGTTTGTATTTTTACTTAGATCTCATTTATATTTGTCACCCGTGGCGTTGTATAAAACTTTCTTTATAAATATTTGTCGATTATTGTCCTAGATTTTTACTCTGTGTTAGGGATTTGGGTTGTTATAGACATATACTGCTTGGATTCTTATCTAGGATGATTATCTAATAATGTCTAGATTCTAGAGATAGATTTAAAGCTATTATTCACTTTGGGTGTCTGTAATTAATGTCTCTGTGTTGGTTGTGTCGCTCTAAGAGATCATCGATGCAATTAGCACAGTTGACTTTTGTATTATTAAGGTTGGTTGAGAGATCGCTGCCGAGATGATATAGTGGGTGTTATGGTTGATACATGTTAACATTGATGAATATTGCTGGTTAATTATAACTAGTCGATAGATTTAAGTTTGTGATGAATAGAGTACATTCGAGCTAGATAAGTTTGTCTTTCCTTTTTATACATTGATTTTCTGTTGATACTTTTTACCTTTCCTTTCAAACCCATTAAACCTAAACTCATTAACACGAGATTTTAACAAACAGCGACTCGATAGCCCAATCTCTATAGAAATGATACGATATAACCTATATATCACCCATTAAATTAATACTTACTTTTTGCTTGCTGCTTTACCACTTCAGCAAAATGGTGTTGTTGTCGGGGATTGGTTTATTGTTTCAGATTGCAATAATTACTTTGTTTTTTAGTTTTATAGATATCATATATATTGTCTATTTTTATTTATGTATATTGATACTTGTATATGTTTACTATACTTATGAATATCGTATACCTGTTTAGTTCCTTTCACGTTTTCTTGTGTGTTTTTGTTAGGAATAGCCGAGCAAAAGCAACTTGGAGGAATGTTCATAAATAACAGGCGTCAAGCTTACGATGTTAAACAAGCATGTTTTTATTGTTTTTAGTTGTTTTATTGTTTTTCATTGTACAAGTTTAGGTACTGTCTGAATGTGTTTTAACAAATTGAAATTTGACCTATTTTAAAACTCTCAAATTTTCACTTTTCAAACTTGTTAATTCACTTTCACCCATTTGTTTTGTTATGTCAATTTATATTTTTCCAAAAGCTTGTCGTGTTTAGCTTGAGGAAGTTTGTTAATGTTGTAAATATTGTAATTGTTGTAAATTGAGTGTGTAATGCGATTGTGGAGGCTATTATGCTGCACCAGCTGCTACTGTTCTATTTTTCTGCATCTGGTGTAGCGCGCTTAGTATGGTAGTACCCGGTTAGCGCGCTCTGTTGTGTTGCGTCAATGAATTATTTTTAATTTCACTTGGTCGTCCATTTTCCCACTTTCTCCAAGGCTTTAGCGTAGTAAATAACAATAGTATTATTTTAACTAATTTTTTTGTTGTTGTTTGGACTCAAATTTTGGTCCGGTAACTTGAAGAATTTCAAGGTGATTTTCCGGTTTTGATTGATTCAACTTGCGTGTGTATGGTAATGATAGTTTTTGAAGTTGGTACACGCCAGGTACTCGTTTATCGCATTTTATATCATAACATGTTAAGGAAACTTCTCATTTGTATAATTACCACACCATTCATTCTTTTTGCATTACTTTCTCATAACTTGAATCACTTTAGTTTCCTTTTTACCCCTAAATGTGAGGAAGATTTCATTGTTCATATATGCTGGAGGTCACAATTCTTATTTTAACTAGATTTTATTATGTTTAATATTTTATTTGTATTGATTGTATGAAAGTATGAAAGTGATCAATTCATTTTGTTTCATTTTGAACACAACTACTTAGCCAAATAGTCAATTAACCTTTTGAGTGTACGACCTTTTGTTAACCTTTTGAGCCATTTTGTCGATATTCATATTGTTTTACTAAATTCTTGTCTATGATTGTTTAATTTATCTTTTTTGTATGGATATTGATTCTTTGTTTTCTTGAACCCTGAACTATGATTTGTAGTTTGAATTTTTTACCTTGCCTTAGAAAGTATGGAGTATTCACACTTTAATGTTGGTTGAACTCAAGTTGGGGAGAGAATTGTTTTCTCACTTATATTGTGATTTCTATGCGGTTGTGAAAAAAATAAAGAGAAAAAAAGAGAAAAAGAAAAGAAAATAAAAAGAAAAGTGAAAAAGAAGTGATAAGAAAAAGAAAGAAAAAGAAAGAAAAAAGTTTTGAAAAACAAAAACAAAAAGAGTAGAATAATATTGTGTTGAATAAGTATTATTGGTTTGAGAATTTTGGAATAAAGAATAAGTTTGATTGAAATTATTTTGCTTGAGTCTTTGTGAGTTTATCCCTGCCTTAGGTTTAGGAAAGTTTTTGTTTCGATTAGCTTTAGGACTTATCCCTTGTTTGTTAACTAAGCCACATTACAACCATGAAAAGCCCTTGTGATTCTTGCCTTTGTATTTTCAATATGAGTTTTTGGATGAGTGCATCATTTAGTCTTTTTGTTGCAAGATTGTTGATGAGTGTTTTTTGTCCCTCACTTTTGTGGGTTCTTCATCACCGATGAATTTTTACTAGGTGTGATTCATGATTGAGCTTATTTTGTTTTAGAATGTTTAGTATGATTTTTGTACTTAGGATTCGTTTCGTTTATATGTTATTATTTTAGGATTATGGTAAGTATTTACCTTGCGTGTGCGTTTTTGTTTGAACCATGTATTTTGTTTTCGTTTTTCAAACTTATTGATTCATGGTTCTTTGGTTGAG